AAGAATAAATATCCCTTACTAAATGCTCTCATTTTCTCTTTGCAGTTTTGGATTATGAATAACCGCACCATGAGGAGTGAGCCGTTGGTCATCTGGTTGGTCTACAGAAGTCGTACTGCGCAGATCTCAATTCTCCATGAAATCTTGGACTTCAGTAATATCAGTGGGGAAATTGTTATTATAAAAAGCTCTTGTGTATTAAATGTTTTATTTTTACTGTAGCTGCGGTCAGTTTGGTCTCTGAGCTGATCATTTCTTCTGTGTTGTACTATAAATATTTCAGTGTTTGTCAAACTTTTCCAGAAATTGCTATAATATTTAATACAACTATCAAAAATGTGTCTATGCACAGTATATTTGTGTATATTTTATATATATTGCCCTTAGACTTACCAGTAACAGTATTAGATGATTGGTTCCTCCGTGTACAGGAAACACAACTAGAACAGTTCAAACACCCCCCTCATCACTCAGTTGAGATTAAAGTAGATTACCTCCACCAGTGCACAAGGGAAGCCAACACCAAATACAATCATGACAACCAAGGGTGGGAAGTAGGCTTGCTGTCCTGGAAGATTCCCAGAAATACCATTATAGGCAAGTCTAATGCAGAACTTCCCCAATCATCTTCCAACAACCTGAGAGGAACTGAAATAAATAAGCCTACCTTGGGGTGGGACCACACTACCTGTAGAACTTTACTGCTGAACACTAGGTTTTATTGCAAGAACACCTTCACTTACCAATATAGATGCAGTTGATAAATTGAATGCAGGTGTATCAGGCGGTAGTCTACTCCTCACAAGGTGCAGGGACGCACTGGAGGCCCAGCAATCACAGATGCATGCTGGGATCCCCAATGCATCACTACATCCAAGATAGTCAAACTCGAAAAATTCAAGAAGAAATATGGAGAGCTCCTGGACTGCAGAGTTTGTGTCTGTTAATCATCTTGTTATGTAAGATTTTAAATCTTTTTATCGGTAAATAACTTTAATAGTTGTAGTTAACTATATTCTTATACAGAGTCAAACATGTATGAATATATTTTATCTATTAATTCAAAGAACCTGCTTTTCTGGCAGTTTGCCTTAAGAGGGTTCCATACAACACTAATCATACAATCTTTTAAGTAAAGCCACCTCTCTAAAAAAGCCTTCTGCTGTAAGTCACAGGATGTTTACTGGTCATCGGGCTTGGAGTCAGAGAATTGCTGATTTCATCAGAGATTTCAAAAGACAGATATTTAATATCATCAAACATTCTGCTTTTGGGTTGTAGTCAGATAACTGCACGTGGGTAATGTAATGCCAATGTTTCATATATTTTTTTCCAATTCATATTCAGCTTGGCTTTCATGTAACTGTGGAGAAGAGTAGGATTTTCGTACTTGCCATATCAACTTTTCTTGGAGACCATTAATCCCTTCATGACTGAGGCCCTTTTTTCAATTTTTGCACCCATGTTATATTCCACATTTTAGGCCTGAAAATGACGTAAAACCCCCCAACATTATATATTTTCTGAATGCCAAGACCCTATAGAATAAAATGGTGGTAGTTGAAAATTTTTATGTTGCGCAATATTAGCGCAACTCCTTATTAAACCCCAAAATTTAGTGACAAATTTAATTAAATGCCCCAAAACACAACAAATTACCCATTTTTTTAATGAAATATAAAAGATGAGGTTACAACGAGTAAAACGATACCCAACATGCCCAGTTTACAGATTGCGTGCGACCGTGAAACGGCGAAAAACTGCAGTACCCCAAAAAATCAATAAAAGACACTTTAAAAGCCCCCACAGGTCATCAATTTAGAGATACCCCAAAATACTGGCCCTAGAATTATTGCTCTCACTCCGGCGTGCGCGGCGATACCCAACATGTGTAGCGCGTTCGTCGTTTTCATGCGTAGGCGCACCCGACGCGTGTTTACGTGGCGACGCGCGTGCTCGCGGGGGCGGGGTACTTTTAAATTTTTTTTTTTATTATTATTAGATTTATTTTATTTCATTTTAATTTTAAAAACTGTTTTTTGTTTTTTTTTTACTTTACTTTGACTGCTATCACATGGGGGGGCTTGCAAGCCCCCCCATGTAATAGCAGATGGTGGTGACAGGTCCTCTTTAAGGTGATGCTGGGGGTCCAAAAGACCCCCAGTGTCACCTTTACACTAGAAATTAGCTATTGAAGTGCATAAATCTTTTTTGTACCTGACGTCAGGCGGCGCTCGGGAGAGCGGATTACAGAGCCACTCTCCCCAGCAACAGCTGACGTCAGGTATAAAAGATTTATGATTGGAGGAAAACTTATCTTGTCTCTGCAATCCGAAGTTTCACTCGCGAGGCTAGTTTGCAGTGGTATCGGCACTTTCGCAACCGCGGTTCTCCTCTCAGCCCCCGTGTATAAGACGCCCCTCCATTATGTAAACATTTTAATGAAAAAGTAGCGTCTTATACATGGAAAAATACGGTATTAGGACACGAAGCTTTGGTGGTGGCAGCTTCTGTCGTCTGTTGTCACACCCCCCCACATCAAAAGATGCACACGTCCTTTGCTGTGTCAACATTCAATACTTTTGTGACCAGAGGTTATTGAGGCTTCGATGACCAGACCAAATTTAGAAGGATCTGTTAACTTGACTATGACTCACAGCACAGGCCTTAAAAAGGCAAACCTGTAAATGACAAAAAGGGGGTCTGCCGTTGCTTAACGCTCACTATGAAAATGCTATCCATCATTCCTTGTTGCAATAATTTGAATCACCTGGAACAAGGATGGAAATCAGAAGCTCTGACTTTGCCGACTACATGCGCATATTAGGTCAGTGACTCAGTACAAACGGAAGTCAAAGACAACCAGGCAATTAGCATTTTCATGAGGAGGTCAGTAACTAGCTTCCATACTTTTTTCATTAGAGATATTACTTTCAGCTTAAAAGAGAACTATGAGGTGAGTGCTTTTCACTCACCTCATAGTTCGAGCCGACCGGGAGGTGAGCGAACACATACCGGGTTACGACATCCGCTGTAGCTCGCGGTATACCGAGCTTTGGGTGACGGGAGGATGCTAGTTTGTGTCCTCCCGTTACCCTGAGAACTATGGGGAAAAGCCCTGACCCCATAGTTCTCGTTTAATAACAGAGGCAGTTGACAGGAGGGCATGGCAATAAAAAAAGACTAGAGGAAAAGTGAAAATGTCTAAACTGTACATACAGACAGAACTAGAAAGACGCAAAACCTTATTAAAACAAAGATTTGACATTTATTTTATTTTTTTTATCATAAAAGTCCAGCAGTTAAAACTATGTACAAGTGGATACATGCAAATGTAGAACACAAACAATTAAAACTACCTAAAACTTCAATAAAAACACAATGTATGCACAATGCAAGAAGCAGCAAAAAGGAGGATTGATAAAAATGGTGGTGGAGTCTTCTTAGCTCACAACATAGTCATGTTTGTATTTTGGGTGTTTATTGTAACCGACTTGCACTCCATTGACGAGACACTGGATCACCCATTCTGATGAAACCACTGGAAGGTTTAAAGCTTGAGCACATTTTAAAATGGATTCTGGACACGAAGGATCTGTGATTACTACATCAAAAACTCCCAAAGCAACATCTAGAAACAGAAAAAAAACAAATCATGAATAAAATAGAGGTACAAATTACCACTTTATGTCTAACGTAATTGTTGAAAAATGTGGCTCAATCACCCCATTTTCATACCTGGGAATGGCTAGAACAAAGAATTCCATTCAACTCTTAGGATTGTTGTATTTACCATAAAATCCGATTTTGGCATCCATTGAGGGACACAGAAAGTCATTTACATGTCTGGTTATACTGCTGCCTACAGGAGAATTGGACACTGGCAAACAAAATATATCACTATTGGCCAGTCCAGGACAACCCCTCCCACTTCCAAAATGCCTCAGTTTTGTAGCACAGCAGTACCAAAAACATGATTATAAACACACAGGAGGGGGACCTGTGTCTCTTAATGGGCTGCAAGAAAAGATTTTATACAGCAAGTACAAAAATCCTTTATAAACAGCAGAAAACTGGGGACGGTCTGATGCTCCAGAGCTACCTGAAGGACATACACTTGAAGAGGGCATCAGATGATGCAGCAACCTCTACCTTGAAGAAAAAAAACATAATAGCAGATGAGCTGGCAGCCTTACCTAGGAAACTGAGGTCTGATGCTGAATAGAGCAAGAGTCACTCACATCACCAGTGAGCAAAATCTTGACAAGGAAAGGAGAAAATTAAACATAAAGCTGGTAACTGAACCACCCAGAAGGTGGAACGAGAACTGAGTCACCCTACAGAGACCAGCATGGATGTCTGATGCAAATTAAACCAAAACCAAAAAAGGTCCACTCAGGAAAACTGGATGGTGCCAAGCAGAGGGATGAAAAAACAATGTCCTGGTTGAGGGGAAGATCATAAACTGCCTTGCAACAGAGAAGACCTAAGCCTCAACTCAACTGATCTCATTACAAACCTAAAGGGAAATGAGATTCCAAGTATTAAAGGCTGACAGGTTGGACACTCACTTCACAGAACTGATGACTTCCAGGGAAGGACTCCTTTAGGGTGAATGCAGTGGAATTACCAGCAGAGTTTTGATTAAAGTAAATTGAAGAAAGAATGAATAAAAAAACAGGTTCATCTTTTAAACAGCAGAGCAAAAAAAAAAAAAAAAAACATCCAACCTCCTAGAACGCTAGCAAAAAAAAAACGTAAAGAAAAATGGTAGTGGGAGGGGTTATCCTGGACTGTCCTTTTTCTTTTGTCACTGTCCAGTTCTCCTGGAGGCAGCAGTATAACCCAAAGGTTACAGACTTCCCATCTCCTATTCTTCCCATCCACTGAAGGACACAGGCAGACATTCACCTTACCCATACAGCAAGCAACACGAACAGGCCCAAGAAGAAAAGAAAAAAAAACAGAATACGGGACTGTCTGAAGTGCAAAGTGCTGCCTAATAGACCTTATGTCCAAAACTGGCATCAGATGAGGCCTAATCCCCTACCTGGTAGAAATTAGAGAACGTATGCACAGCAGACCAGGTGGCAATCACAGATCTACTAAAGTATGCCTCGACGGGAAGGAGGAAGCCCAATCCTTAAGACCATAAACTTGAATAATGGTCTTTGAGCCACCTAGGGATGGTGGAAAGAGAAGCTGGTGACCATCCATGATTAAAAAAAAAAAGAAAAGGGAATTGTCTTTAAGACAGACTTTTTTTTTTCTTCAGAAACAGGTACAAGACTAGCTTTTGAAAGAATAAAGATCTTCTCAGGGTGTTTCCAATACCCATAGAGAAAGACTTGGAACAGTCCACCTGCACAGCCAGTCCTATATGCCACTGCCACAGAGGAACTCAGACATCTCAATTAACCTCAAGTGCAGTTGTAGTACATTATTTTCTCCAGCCCCATAACAGTAGGTCTATACCTCCATATGGACATTGAGCTAGGTGAAGAACCTGCAAGAGGCAGTCCACTGCACGCACAATGCACTGATGGAGCGTGCAATGCTCTGCAGACTCCGATGCAATACAATCATAAAAGGCACATTTTTTCTTCTATCAATGTGTGTGCATATATTCATTTTTTTTTTCAAAGGTGACTTATGCCTTGGGAGTGATAGCAGGAGACTGTGACTCAAGGCTCAGCAGGCAATGATTGGAGTGACTGAGAATCACACAGTGCCAATGCAATCGATGGCTCAGAAGCTTCTAAGACCACAGGTAAATTAGATAAAGAATTAACAGAAGGTGTGGGAGCTAACTTCAGGCCTCTGCGGACAGCAAATAATTGAGAGATTTAGGCTATAAGTCTTGCTTGACTGCAGTCAAATTCTATGAAAGTGGACAGAGGAAGTGGAGCTAGAGAAGAGCTAGAGAAGACTCCAGATGGAGCTAGAGAAGACTCCAGGACATGACAGGACAGACTCTAGGAGTAAAGGGCAACACGTTACCCAGCCAAAGGCATCAGCTGGATCAATGGTTGCACCGCGAGAAGCCCTGGAACGGTTAGTAGAGTGTGAGCTGGGGGCACCTGCTACAGAAGGATCGGCTGGATAGCTGCAATCAGAGACCAGCAGTTAGCAACGATGTAGACAAGTGTCTTGGCTAAAGCAAAATGTTTGAAGAAAAAAAATCGTACTAGAAAAACATGAAAGCAGAACTGAAGAAACAATGTAAATCCTCCTAAGACACTAGCATACAAAACAGAGCCATGTAGTAGGAGGGGTTATCCTGGGCTGGCCTACAATTTGTTGTCAGTGTCCTATTCTCATGCATGAGGCAGTATAACCCAAAGGTGAATGACTTCCTGTGTTCCTTAATGGATGAGAAAAGAAAGACAATTCGGTATTGTAAGGAAAATATGTGGGTTGCCACTGTTACTCACTAGAAAATGGTAACTGCCTGCCTGTAGAGCCAATGTCTTCAGGGCTTTCCGAGCCATAAATGGACTGCTAGTGCACACTTAACCAGTTGACATCCGCGGTGTTAGACCCCCTTCCCATCCAGGCCATTTTTCAGTATTCAGCGCTGCGAATATCTTGCTTTGCATGTAATGAGTCTCTCTCATATATTAGTTTCACCTTTTAAGTTGCATTAGTGAAATAAATGAACTTTTGCACGATATTCTAATTATTCGAGTTTCACCTGTATACTTGTTTGTTGTGGTTTTTTTTTTTTAATACAAAGTTACTGCTACAAGATGACATTATTACAATATGACTTCTTTTGTATTAGTGCCAGCTGAATTTAATAATACCTTTGTTTGTATCTGCAGAACTGTGCTGCTTTGCAGATGCTGCTCCTCCAACCATTAATACTTCTGTCCATGTTTCCAGGAAATTCTCTTGCTGGTCAGATACAACAAGAAAGCGCAATCCTTGGAAGGGATGCCTAGAGCCATGCCTGAAAAATCAATATCAAAACAAACTTCTGTAATACTGATGGAAAATATCATCCCCCTTCCCCACTAAAACACTGGGTACTTTTATCTCACCATTCCAAAATTTTATCTTCTTGAAGGCTGTACCCAGCCGGGAGGAAGTAATTGTTGACACTTTGCAGCTCATTAGAGTGACAACTGTCATGTACCCAGATATGAGACACACAAGAGATTCCACTGGCAAGGCACAGAAAATATTTCCGGGTTCGGCAGTGCTGGTCAGCAATCAGCAAACATTTTGAATCTGGTTTGCACTAAGGGAAGGAAGGAAAGACAGCATTAGGACATGGCTCACCTGCTAAATAAGGTGCATTTTCCCTCTGGCATCATATGGATACACACACACACACACAAGGTAGGTTGAACAGAGTCACAGGACAAGTGGTTAAAGTGGTTGCAGTTCTTCCTAGACTACAAGCAATAGACAAACAAAATATCAGATTAAAAGCCAATTTAAAAGACTTTGAGTGGAATTTATCAAAACTGGAGCAGTCACCTATGCCAACCAATCAGCTTCTCTCTTTCATTTTCAAACCTTAAAAGGAGAACTATGAGGTGAGTGAAAAATCACTCAGCCTCATTAGTTCGAGCTGACATGTGACAATGAAACTGTAGCAGGTCGGCTCAAAAGATCAGGAAGTGAGCAAACGCATACCGTCGCTCGCTCACTTCTCGATCATCTCCAAGCAGAGAGCCGTGACTGTCAATCATGGCTCCCTGCAGGGTTTCCCCCCCTCTCCTGTCCGATCCCCCAGCGCTGACTGGCGGAACGGATGGGGGAGGGGGCGGGTACAGCTGGCTCTCTGCCTCTAGATAGGCAGAGCCAGCTGTCACTGACGCAGCTGTGTGGATCCAGACAGCATTGTTGGGATCCGTTCCGGCTGCAACGTCTCAGTATACCGCAAGCTGTAGCTCGCGGTTTACTGAGCTTTGGGTGACGGTAGGACGCTAGTTTGTGTCCTCCCGTTACCCTTAGGAGAACTATGGGGAAAAGCCCTGACCCCATAGTTCTTCTTTAACTGAACAAACTGAAGAGAGAAGCGGCTTGGCTGCTTTGGGCAACTGCTCCAAATTTTGTCTGCTCAAGTTTTGATAAATTCCCCCCTTTCTGTCTTCAGAACCACTCCACCATTTTTTGGCCGGCTTAAAGCAAGTCATGAGCAAGTATGGGGGATGCCATTTCTAGCCATCTTCTGTAAATGCTAGTTAACAGTTTGTACAGAAACTTTCCTTTTGAATATAAAAAAAATTGAATTTGTTTTGAAAGACAATACATCCAAAAGAAGGCAGACTTAAAAATGTTTACACATATGGATGAATGAAAAAATAAAAAGCCACACAAAACGCAATACATTCAATGAAAATCTCACCAGTGCTTCACTGAAATTGTCGATAATGCAGCCCCCTCCAGCGCGAAGCTGAACCTCTGTGTACCGTCGGTCGTACGGGGTGCTTTCAATGTATTCTGCAAGCAGAAGAAATACTGGTAACCTGCATGTGTCGATTACATACCAGTGGATACTGGTTCTCATTCTCCAGGTCTGCTTGCCAAGCTAATAAGTAATTGGATTCTAAGCTGCACTAGCAAATGACAGATAGAAAGTGAATGGTTGTCATAGCCGACAAAGACACTTTAGGAGACCTGTTTTAGAGACTTCTAAACCCCGAAAACAGATAAACCAGGAATTCACATATTAATACAGATCACTTCCGTCCACGGTCTTATTTTTTTTACTGACATTAGAAAACACATTTGGCATCTGCTGCTATTTTACAGTTTGGTATTCTAAGCTAAACATGACATGGGGATAGGCAATATATGTGTGTCATGTGAAGGAAGATAAGTCCATGAAGTCCAGCAGCACAGAAAAGTGATAAAATGAAGAAAATGAACGGATTACACTTGCTAAATAACAATGGGTCTGCCATAAAGATACCATTTTTTTAAATAGTATTATTGTATGTTCAGGAAATGTTTCCAAACAAATACCTTTATGATGCCTGCCTGACTATACATTTTAAAATCCCAATTCCTCAGAAAGGATTACTAGATTAAAAAGCATCTCAAACAACAAGACACAAGAATGACCTTCATCATCTTCACTGCTGAATGAAGTGATCTTCTGTGATTTCAGGCGGTTGTTGACTTTGTCACTGGATGTGGCCGTAGTGAGAAGAAAGGCGTATCCTGCGAACAGCAAATTATTCTGCGGTAGAGGTCCATGCGTCTCCTCCAGTGTATTCTGGTCAGCTGCACTGTCTTCACCTTCATTGTGGCTCGTAAAGTCACCTTCTTTTGCTGGACCATATGAATAAAATAAAGGCTAGTTATATGCAAGGCTAAAAACACAAATCTGGCAGTAATTTTAGGTGAACAGCAGGACTATATAATATATATATATATTTTTTTAAATACAATGTCCATCATTGCTAGTTGGTGAGATAGGAGACTGTTGTTAGCTTTGTTTTTTGGGGGGGGAAAATCAGGGGGCTGCAAGTGATGGGTACACCTTGGCCAAATTATGGGGGTTGGGGCAAACATCCAGTGAAAGGAACCCTTGAGTCAGATTAATTTGCTTAATTAATAACATGGACAGGTCCTCACTGGTAAGTGTTCATTGGAAAATAAATCACAGGGAACATTTGTGATGTTCCAAAGTATGTGATCAATGCTAAAACCTGCTTTAAAAAGGATTTTAAGGAAAAATATATTTAGAATATAATACACACACACACCCTAATAGTGCTTTTTTGTTTAAAACTTGTAGTTGACTTCTTACTTGCTTGTCATAATTATCCTTCATTAGGTAAAACAACTGAGATTGTATTTAACTTTGGTGTAAATAACTGTCTGCATATAGAATGGCAACAAAGGAGCTGTTTAATTTTAGTAGAATTATAGATCAGTAGTTTAAGCTTTTCTGACTCTGGCAGAGCTGATAACACACAGATTAGGGACTAATTGACAGATTGGAATACTGTATGTCCTGCCTGGATCATACAGTAACTTAGTAAAGCACAATGCAGAATAGGGTATCTGGTTTTTATTACATTTATCATCACAGGTAGCCCTGTTACCTATAACATATGTGGCCACATCTGATGGACTCAGATGTGGCCACATCTGATGGACTCGAGCAGCCAGGAAAGGTCACTGCTGTACAAAAACATTGGAAGGCATATTTTACTTGAATGCACACCTTCAGGAGTGCTGGCGATGTTGTAATTTAGAAAAGACTAGAAAGTCCTTAATTAAACAGAGACTCAATATTATTCACATGCACATGATTGCTAGGGTGCCCATACAGATCAGATGACAAGCAGTCTAGCTTAATGCAGTTAGGCCAGGTTCACACCTGGGCGTTTTGAAGCGCTGAAAAACACTCAAACAGTGAAATCCCATACTTTTCTATGGGCATGGTTCCCACCTGGGCGTATTTCAGCACGTGGAAACGCGCTGAAAAATGCCCTACGCCCAAACAAGTATAGGAGCTTCTTTGGGGCGTTTTTTCGCGCGTTTCCATTGGTATTCCAGAGTGTGGCTCGGGGTTAACAAAGTGGTAACCCCAAGCCACACTCGGGAATACAGCGTAGGACCTACCTTTTCCGCGATCCCCGCTGTGTCCTCCGGCGGCTGCCGACTTCCGTCCCTTGCGAGCGGCTGCGTCGCACGGGGGCGGAACCGGCAGGAAGTTTGAAAGTTTAAAAAAATATATATATTTTAAATGTAGAGAAAATAAAATTAAAAAAATAAAAATCATTCCGCCAGTGAAACGCGCGTTTCACTGAACGGAAAAACGTGCTAAAAAACGCAAAAGAAACTAGCCTATGTTACGCCCATGTGTGAATCCAGTCTTATACACATACACTAGTGGCTCAGTAAAACTGCTTTGTTTTCTCTCTGAAAAGCCAACACCACATTCCATAGGCCTAAACATGAAGAGTCTCTCAAGACAGGTGCTCCAGGTTGAGGGATGCCCTGGCAGACGGATCTCTGCTCATCTGACTATCTGGTGTGTAAAGCCAGCTTCAGTGGCATTTTGATCGTTTTAATATAAATGTTATTTCTTTGCTCCTTTACAGAAAATGACTATGGAGTTATATGATATCAATGCTGTTACTACACAGGGTTCTATGGCCATAACCAAAAATAAGCTGTCAAGCACCTGATAAGTCCTGAAATCTACCTTCTCCAGAGAATCCAAGTTATAATTATATAGGAGACTCTTGGACTCGGATACAGCAAAATGTTTTCCACTGCTGAAATCTGTTAGACAAGGGCTCTATGTATGAGCATATTAATAAGAACTGAAATTACTTCTCAGCCAGCAGTCAGCATCAAACTCTGATCAAGAAAAGGCTCATAGTGAAAGGGATTAAGAGCTTTATCCTGCTATACATTTGCACAACTGTGCACACTGGTATACTGTACCATAATATTATAGCCTACATTTATCTTCTAAAAACCTAAAGTGATCTTTATTAGCGTATGACTGCGGCTGTGTAACCATAGATCAGGTTCAATCAGCCTCTAAAGAAAAGCAATAAAACCTTACCAGACTTTGCAAAAACAGATTTACGCCCACGCTTTGCAGGAGATTTCTCATCATCTGAACTAATCAATTTCCTTTTTCCAGAGAGTGGACCTAAAGAACTGCGAGACACCTCAGTTCCTTTTCTGGTTGGGGTGCTTGTACTGGAAGTGGTTGGTGTGACCATCACACTTAAATTACTTCTTCGTTTCCGCTTCCCTTCCACTAGATTATCTTTAAATACAAAGGTCACATTTATCAGAAATTCATATAATACATTATACACTTATAGGTAACACCACACAATGAGGAAGTTCGTATGTGTGTGTATAATTATGTATACACACAGCAAAAGTTTTAGGCAGGTGTGAAAAAATGCTGCAAAGTAAGAACACTTTCAGAAATATATATAATTTAAATTGTTTATTTTTATCAATTTACAAAACACAAAGGGAGTGAACAAAAGAAAAATCTAAAATCAATATTTGATGTGACTACACTTTGAATTCAAACTAGCATCGATTCTTACACTTGCACTCGACGGTGTGTATGACCAACCAGTTATAACAAGCAAGTGCTAATGATCATCAATGTCATAGGTAGGTTGTAACACAGTCATTAACTGAAACAGAAACAGGTGTGTAGGAGGCTTAAAACTGGGTGAGGAACAGCCAAACTGCTACTAAGGTAAGGTTTCATTTCACACACCATGGCAAGACTGAGCACAGCAACAAGACACAGCATACGGCAACCAATCAGATGCTCTCTTCAGTTAGGGTTTGAAAATGAAAGGTGGATGCTGATTGGCTGCTATGCACAGCTGCTCCAGTTTTGATTAATTCCCCCTAAGGCAGTTCTAGTGCATCAGCAAAGTCTCTCCCAGGCAAAGATTTCAAAGCAGACTGGGGTTTCAAGATGTGCTGTTCAAGCTCTTGAAGCGCTGTTCAAGCTCTTGAAGTAGCACAAAGAAACGGGCAACGTTGGAGGACAGTAAATACAGTGTTCGGCCAAGGAAACTTAATGCAGCAGATGAAAGACACGTCTAATTACTTCCCTTCAACATCAGATCTTCAGCAGTGCCATCAGCACCGAACTGGCAGAAACAAGTAGGGCCCAGGTACACCCATCTACTGTCCGGAGAAGTCTGCCTAGTGGTCTTCGTGGAAGAATTGCGGCCAAAAAAAAAACATATCTCTGATGTGGAAAGAAGGCTAAGCGACTCAACTGTGCATGAAATTATAGGAACTGGGGTGCAGAAAAATGGCAGCAGGTGCTTTGGACTGATGAGACAAAATGTGAAATATTTAGCTGTAGGAGGCAGTTTATTCGCCGAAGGGCTGGAGAGCAGTACAATAATGAGTGTCTGCAGCAACAGTGAAGCATGGTGGAGGTTCCTTGCAAGTCTGGGGCTGCACTTCTGCCAATGGAGTTGGAGATTTGGTCAGGATCAATGGTGTCCTCAATGCTGAGAAATACAAGCAGATACTTATCCATCATGCCATACCATCAGGTTGGCGTGTGATTGGCCCCACATTTATTCTGCAGCAGGAGAATGACTCCAAACATACAGCAAATGTCATTAAGAACTATCTTCACCGTAAAGAAGAACAAGGAGTCCTGGAAGTGATGGTTTGGTCCCCACAGAGCCCTGATCTCAACATCATTGAGTCTGTCTGGGATTACATGAAGAGACAGAAAGATTTGAGGCAGCCGACATCCACAGAAGATCTGTGCTTAGTTCTCCAAGATAATTGGCACAACCTACCTGTGTGCAAGTGTACCTACAAGAATTGATGCTGTTTTGAAGGCAAAGGTTGGTCACACCAAATATTGATTTGATTTGGATTTCTCTTCTGTTCATTTAATTTGTATTTTGTTAATTGATAAAAATAAACTATTACGCACACGACTGCATATGGAGAGAGAGAGGGAGAGAGAACGAGAGATTTATGGAACACACACATATACAGTATCTCACAGAAGTGAGTACACCCCTCACATTTTTGTAAATATTTTATTATATCATTTCATGTGACGACACAGAAGAAATTACACTTTGCTACAATGTAAAGTAGTGAGTGTACAGCTTGTATATCAGTGTACATTTGCTGTCCCCTCAAAATAACTCAACACACAGCCATTAATGTCTAAACCGCTGGCAACAAAAATGAGTACACCCCTAAGTGAAAATGTCACCCTCCCCAGTGTCATGTGACTCGTTAGTGTTACATGGTCTCAGGTGTGAATGGGGAGCAGGTGTGTTAAATTTGGTGTTATCGCTCTCACTCTCTCATACTGGTCATTGGAAGTTCAACATGGCACCTCATGGCAAAGAACTCTCTGAGGATCTGAAAAAAAGAATTGTTTCTCTACATAAAGATGAATGTCGTCGTCATGGAGGAGTGGAAGAGGACTCCAGTGGCAACCTGTGAAGCTCTGGTGAACTCCATGCCCAAGAGGGTTAAGGCAGTGCTGGAAAGTAATGGTGGCCACACAAAATAGACACTTTGGGCCCAATTTGGACATTTTCACTTAGGGGTGTACTCACTTTTGTTGCCAGCGGTTTAGACATTAATGGCTGTGTGTTGAGTTATTTTGAGGGGACAGCAAATGTACACTGATATACAAGCTGTACACTCACTACTTTACATTGTAGCAAAGTGTAATTTCTTCATCTATGGGAAAACTAAGCTGCAGATAGAGATGGCAAGCATTAACAAGATATAATTGCCAACCAGCAGGACAAATAAAACATTTGAGACTAGAATAAAAATATTACCGAGGCTTATGTCTGATCCCTTGGTTAATGGCATTGATGGTTCATAAGGGCCTAGACCAAACTGCTCTCTGAGCTTATTTCCCTGTTCTAGGGACAGGATTACCGCCATCCTTTTGTACCATTTCCTTTGTCCTTCTTTTTCAATGCAGTACCACAGTTCTTCAGAATCTCTTTTGTGAGCTTTTACTACTCCTGTAAAATAGAAAATAAAGCAATAATTAAAAGCCTGCATCAGTATATCATACCCATTTAGATGGATGTCTATCCATCTAAATCAACCATGTGGACGGTTCACAAAGACAAGGTTGCATTGGGTTGGTGCATGGATAATGCATAGAATTTAAGAGGTCAGCTAAAAAGTAAACACCCTGCATTCAAACATCATGTAAGATGAATTATTGCTGTAGTAAAAAAAATCCAGACCTTTCTGTTTGAGTCAAATTTTGTTGAAATAAAGGACATACCTGCACTAAAATATTCATCTTCTGAGAGGGCTGTCACCTCTGTATCCAATGGAATAGGGTCACATAATAAAATATCTTTTCCGACGACATCACATTCATAGCCGTCATCAAATAGTAGCTTGTATTTTCCACCTCCAGCGTCCCGAGTAATTGTGCCAGAGTAAAAATAACCATTGGAGGACCACTTGGCTACAACTTTGAGTCCCACAAAACTACTACCCGATGAGGAGTCCGTGCTAACATTCTTGGATGGTGTCTGATAGGGGATTTCAGGGGAATCGCTGCGCCGCGTGGTAGGGGTTCCTGGGCTTGCTCTGTCACGTGCTTCTGGATGACAAGCACTGATGTGTGTGAATGGTTCTTCATCAGGAACAGCAGCTGCTGTGGAATCCTCAGCTTGTGCATGTGAAGAGCCGACTTCCCTGTAAAGGAGATTAGCATGTACAACACATTCAACAAATATAATTCCCTTCTACTTTCCCTTGAAACACAGATATGATACTGGCCAAATTAAGCCTGAGCAAAAAAAATAAAATCCGTCAGTGCATTCTATTAGGGAGCAAAAAAACGATCATAAAGTGATAAAACTGTCATTTTCACTTTAAGTAGTTAGGTAATTGCACCTAGCAAGACTTAAATACTATATAACTGGTTGGCCATGACAATTAACATGCTGGGTTTGATCCAACAATTAATTTTAAAAGGGAGGGATGGAATGATGTCCAACAAATTCTTAAACTAAAGGAAAAAATCTATAGAATTGTTCTCACTCGTGTCATTACAGTACTTCTACCATATATTCCTGGCTTTTTTTTATTAGTGCCTGTATATTACTAAGATCTATATTTAAAAAATAAGGACTGCAGTGTCATAAAATACACTTTTTAGGAATTCAAACAAACATCAGTTTAACCCTTCAAGTTATAGGTGACACTGCTCAAACTCATGCCTTTATGAGGCCTTTATGAAGTAAAAAATACTTAGCATACTCAATGAACCTTTGAAAACTGTTCATCTTGGAAGCTGGTCATCTCAGCTAAATAGTAGCATTAAAAGTAAAAGGCTAGCTGTGTTTTTGGAGCATCAGACCCATATGCCCCACCCCTAAACACCATGTTAAAGTGAATGGCAAAAGCTAAATAAAACGGCTACTGCAAAAACCTGGCTTTCTTCCATAAAGTATAAAGCTGTGCACGTTACACTACAGGGTGTGTAATGAAAATCTACTAGATTGTAGGCTCTCAAGAGCAGGGCCTTCCTAACCCTCCTGTACTGAAACTGCATTGTAACTATACTGTCTCCGTCCATATTGTAAAGCGATGCGCAGGATTTGAATGTTTCAATGGCTGGGGATTTATGGAACCCAGGAGGATGGAGGAGTGATCAAAACTTATGCGCATGCAGCTTTATGGTACTGCCAGGATCACTCAAAACTCAGGACAAGGCAAGGATCTGTGACCCATCTGTACACGGTATATTTAGTACTTGGGGGTTGATTACTATTATTTTAGTTAAAGTGTAACTATAGCTAAGATTTTAGCGGGCGGGTTCTGCCTGCTTTTTTTGCTATCACATTCTGTTCTGGGGATGTTTTACCAGACTGGAAGTAAAAGAAAATCTGCAACAGGGAAACAGACAATGAAAACTGGACAGAGGTTCTAGCTAGAGATGCACCGAAATTGCATTTTTAGACTGAAACATAAAAAATTTGTCAGGCCGAAAACTAAAATGACTTTTTTTTGCCAACCTTTTTAAAATGTTTTTAATTATTTTGTTACATTTTAGACCCCTGATATGTCCCTTTTAAACTAGAAAAAGAGATTGAGGACACAGAGTCCTCAATCTTTTTTTTTTGCAGCCACTGTTATGAATGAATAGGAAGCCTCTATACGGAGTACTCCTATCCATTCATAAATAGTGGAAATAGTATATTTACCATGTCCACAATCATGAATGATCAGGAAGTGACGTACAGCACTCATAATTGGGGACACAGTCAAAATACTCTGTCCTCAATTATTTACAGTCAGCGATCAGCTGATCGTTGACTGCTTGTATCCGCTCTCCATCCTGACCTGCTGTCGCAGGAGGCCGAGTCAGCGGTATGGGAGGAAAGCTCTGGTTTCTTTGACAGCCAACTCCTCCCCTCACCGCCAGCTCGACCTCCCATGACAGCCGACAGTAAGCTTACTTTGTCCTAAATTATTTACAAACACTCAGTGTTTCCTCCCCGCTTGGCCTCCTGAAACCTTCACTCCTCCCCACTGGGCACTGGTCTGTGTCCCCCTCGGATCCCCGCTGCCTCTGCCGACACGGGCGGGGGAGAGCAGCGGGCATTGGAGGGAACACAGACTGGCGCCCAGTGGGGAGGAGAGAAGCAGTCAGGATGCACTGAATTTTGAGCCGTTATGGCACTTTTCAGCATTTTGCCCAAAGTACCATTTTCAACCAAAATGTTTCGGCGGCCGAAATTTCGGTGCGTTCCTAATTTTAGCATTCCCCCACTTTAAGTAACAATTCAGTTAAGGCTATAGGTCCAAGATTCCAAAAGTCTCATTTGCAAACAAAAGGAAGCCGCAGTTCATGCAAGTATGACATGCAGATATTATATAACAAAAAAAAAGAAGGAGCTACCCAATGGAGAAAGTTTGGAGGTTGCTTATTAAAGTAGATGCCATGACTGCTTAACAGACATATTCTAATCCCTATCCTTTCTTACATTCTTAACCTATTCTTCAGCCTGCAGATTTTATGGTCCTGATAGTACCACCTTCATAGTAAGCAAAACTTACATTCCCTTCTGTGCTCAACATAACATCAGAAAAGGCACACCTTCTCAGAAAAATATCCTGGTTGAACTGGTCACTTTTCAAAAAAAGTAAGGTTCAAGACAGAACCAATACAAGTCAACACAGATATTTAACAATTAATATATATATATTTAAAAACAAAAACAAAAACAAAAAAACATTTTATTCCTAAAGTTGGGTATACAGGGTTAGAACTTTGTTCCAAAAAATTTGTTTTCATATTGTTCATTCGGTTCTCTAATAGTTGGAATTTCATTTTGCCCATAGTGGTGGAAACAAATCAAAGGAGCAGGATGGAAATTTTTTCTCAAATGAACAAAGTTCTAACAGTTAATGTGGTTTCAATTCAGGAAATTCCATTCATTCCAACCTCAAATGTTAAAACCAAATGAAATTTCGACCAAACTAATGGCGTTCGTCAAGTCTCTGATAGTATTATCGAATATTCTGACGAGATTTTTCATACAGTCGGTACAAAATTCTAACCGTGTATACTCCGCTTTAAACACAAGACACCTGACTGACCCACACTGTCTGTCTATGGATACCTTGATCCAGTTCCTCGAAAAGGAGGACGTCCCCTCCTCCCTCTTCCACGGGGTGTAAGGGGCGCTTTGGCCCCTGGTCTGTTTCCAAGCGATGCATCTGCATCATCTTCACTCACTTGCACCCCTGTTTGTCTTCCAGTTTCGCGTGAAGACCCTGGCTGGCTGGACACTTTCCTAGGACTGGAAAAAATGAAGACAGTTTATCTTTACCGTACTGCAGTGATCTAGGACTTTAGCAGCAAAAGTTTCCTGGTTATGCTATACAGTAATTTTCCTATAGAAGTTCCAAACTGAACTAAATGATTGCTAGTTCCCAAATTCTACCTGATCTTAAAACTTCCGAAATTTTCCAGGAGCTTTAATTTCAGTATTTGTTTCAAAACTTTGCCAATTAGGACATTCAAAGAGTTTCTCAGATAACTGTCAGATTTATCTAAACCCCTCGTGATCCTTAATAATTAAAAGATGTGTCATATCCGGCAGGATGCAGATTTGTATGCTACTGAATCTACATAAATGTTTACATCGATTCCTGCACCTTGCTAGGCAGGCCTGGCTGATCAATCATGAACTCTCACACGCCAATAATAAATTATATCAGTGGCCTGTGAGTGACTTGCATAGTTTTAAAATGGCTTATCTGAGGGGTGGAGGGTGTCAGACTCTGTGCTGTGGGCAACAAATAAACTTGGTCCCTGGTGTATAATACATGCTATATCATTTTACAGATATGTTTACTTAGTGATAGATTGGGCATTTTTGCTTTGAAAACAATGGTATAACCATGAATTTCCCTATTGAGTACCTTGATTTCACAAGGCCTCCACGCCCAGCTGGCATGGCAAATTCCCCAGATTCCAACTGGCCAGCTCTTCCTCTTAGTGTAACCTTTGCTTTATCAGAACTGCTACCACTGGTGCTTTGCCCTGCAGATAGGCCACTGCTGGCTCCACTAGATGTGCGCTGAAGGCTTGATGTTTTTGAGGAAAAGGAACTGATATCTGCAAGATCTCCAGAAGTCAGAGACGAGACCGCAGTCCTTGAAGGAGATACTTCATTTTCATATTCACGACATTCAATTATGGGCTCTTCGGCTTCCTAAAAAAAGGGAACGAGTGAATGAATGTTTTGTGCCCAGTGAATGAATGTTTTGTGCCCAGTAGCACCTCTCCATTTCTGTACATATGTGTGAAGAACTAATACGCCTAAATAAGTAGGCTTAAAAAAAAAAAAAAATTACAAAGAAACCGCAATATTTTATGCACGCTTTTTTAATATATAAAATTCAGAACTGAAGAAAGGACTTCGCTGAATCCTATCATAGTCTACTTTTAACCTCTCCAAAGCCTTAATTGGATGAAACAATGTCGCACTGAGCTACACAGATATATGAATACAATGTGAAATACCTCAAGTTCTGGAACATGTCTACCTTGTATGATTAAAGGCCAGCTGTTTTAGTATTATTGGCCTTTTCAGAAGATCTCCATGTATTGGGCAACATGATTTACTTGATGTGTCTTATGATTAAATGTTTTGGGGCAGGTAAGAAGGAAATGAAACATTACCCATAGTACCGAACAGAAATGCTGTTTTCTCAAATGCTAAGTAAAGGTGATTGTGAACAGCAGATACAGTTTCCTTGGCTACTATTCTCATAGATGTACGTAGTGTTCAAATTTTATGCATAGTAACAATATTAAAGCAACAAAAGGTAATATTTATTTACAGAAAGTGTGGTTCACTTGTATATAAAGGGCTCGAGCAATTCTCTTATAGCCTAGAAAAAAAGTTCTAATCGCTTCTTCCTTTTCAGAAATAATTTGTTTTGGCTTAAACAAGGTATAATGTTTAGAAGAATTACCTCTACAACCTTGCGTTCCACCTCTGTTCCATCCATGTAATAAACATCTGTGATGATTCGGGTGACCACAGTGCGCACTTCACGTATTGTACGGACATGGCGATGAAGGCTACGTCCAGGAGGAGGCCGAGGAAATTCAAAGTCTTCCTCACCCTGAAAATTACAGAAAAAGGTACACTTTTCTATGATAACGTCTAACAGTTATTGAAAGTACCTCTGTTATGGCAGGAGTTTGGAATATTTAAGTTGCAATTGCTCACTTTCTGAAAATTCTACCTGCCTGGCTGTGTCACAATTCCTTACCTCTGTACCTTTCTGGAAACTAGCATTTTTAGAAAAGGTCAGCAATAGCATCCTTCAGATTTGTCTCATGGCCAGTGTGCTTTTAGGATTTCACTTGGCTCTCATTCATCACAAACAGACAAGCTGGGATATGTTCAAAGCTTAGCGACAGTCATATATGTTCTAGAAGCATGTGTGTGTGGACAACTCTTAAAAACAAAGTACCAAAACACTTCTGCAGATATATATGGTTTAGATGTACTTTTCCACGGTCACCTACATAATATTTGGATAGATTCCTCCACCCATCTTCCTCAGCCTTATCAGCAGCTATCCTTTTTAGTTTTGCATATACCATGATAGATCTAGAATTTAAAAGGAAGCACTTTCCACCTCACAAAATGACCACTGGAGCCAACAGGTGTGGCCCACAAATCCATAGTTTAAAGCACCTTGCTCTCTTGACTCAGCACTCACTCGAGTTTAGGGCTGCAACAACTAATCGACATAATCGATTATAATCGATTATTGAAAAAGTTGTCAACTATTTCAATCATCGATTAATCGGCTTCCGATTGGTTGCCCCTGTTCACGGCTCCACACACGCTGCGCGCCACACCTCCTCCCCACCTCAGACCCGCCCGCATCCATGCTCCACACGCCACACCTCCTCCCTGCCTCACGCTCACTGCCCGCCCAAATCCACGGTCGGCACAGGGACGCAGGGAGAAGAAGTAAGGAGGAGCAGGTGTGGGCGGATGACAGCCGCCGATAGACAGGCCCCATCTCAGAAACAGGTTGCTGGAAGACTGCTCAGGTAAGCCTGCACTTTCCCCACATGGTGCTCTATAATCTATGGCTGGGATAGTGGGATTTGTATTCCTCTATAGTTGATGGTACATTGTGCTGTATATTATACAGACCAATGTACCATCAGCTATAGAGGACTACAAATCCCAGCAATACATTATACACTGTATGTATAATGTATTGCTGGGATTTGTTGTATTCCTATATAGCTGGTGGTATTCTGCATTGCGCTGTATAGAGGACTACAAAACCCAACAATAGTACATTATAGAGCGCAATGCGGAATTCCACCAGCTTTAGAGGACTACAACACCCAGCAATAGTACAGTATACAGCGCAATGCAGAATACCACCAGCTATAATGTACTATTGCTGGGATTTGTTGTATTCCTCTATAGCTGGTGGTATTCTGCATTGTGCTGTATAATGTGCTTTTGCTGGGTTTTGTAGTCCTCTATAGCCGGTGCCATTCTGCATTAATTGCTATATAATTTTACACTTTTCATTTCACTATATTGCACACCACACTTTCTTTTTTTTCTTTTTTACTTCCACCACTCCAAGCTTGCTCCTGTGATGGACTGCAATCTCAATACAAACTAGTAGTCCCATCACCGGAGCCATTTTTTAAAATGTATTTTATTTTCTATCCGATTAACCGATTAATCGAACTTAATAATCGGCTAACTAATCGATTTTGAAAATAATCGTTAGCTGCAGCTCTACTCGAGTTATCTTGTTGTATCACAAAAACGGTTCACTTCACTGTAGGGGCAGGACAAATTTCAAAAGGGAGGAGAACGGGCCACAAGGTGCAGGCTAAAGAGGCTAGGCAGAGCATTCAGAAAATTTCACAGCAAGAGAGTAGCGAACATGGAGGGGAACACAGCAGAACGTGTATCACCCTAAGAAGGAATAGACAGCATTATAGAATGTGACATGTCTGAGGTCCAGTATGCCACTGTCATGAGTCATAAATAGCCCTGTCCATAAATCTTATGTTCAATTTTCAGTGGAAAATTTTTGCCATACAGACAAGTTAGGATATTCCAAGTCCTAGGATGTTTAGCTAAAGTTAAGATTTCTCTTGCTATGCAGAGAAGTATTGCCAGAATGTTTGCCATATCCCATGCAAAACCCCCCCCCCCAAAAAACGACTCATTATACTTACTCTAATCAATGCAAGGTTTTATTGTTGAGTCTTTAAGGAAATCACATGGAGACCTGCAACAACTAAGTCGATTATAATCGATGATTGAAAAAGTTGTCAACATTCTCAATCATTGATTAATCGGCTTTCGTTTAGTTGGCCCTGTTCACGGCTCCACACACGCCGCACCTCCTCCCCGCCTCACGCTCGCCGCTGCCAGACCCGCATCCACGCGCTACACCTCCTCCCTGCCTCACGCTCACCGCCCGCACCCCCGATTGGCACAGGGACACAGGGAGAAATA